ATAATATATGTAATATATATATATATATATATATAAACATGTAATATATATATATATATATAAACATGTAATATATATATATATTACATGTTTGATAAAAATCTGAAATCTTCGCCGTTTATTCGCGACAGGAATTTCCGAGAAGGACGTTTTTCTCTGAGCGGAAATCCTTTTTTGTTTTTCAGCCATGAGGGAATGAGCACTGGAGCGGGAGATGGAGGTGGAGGAAGCGTCGGAGGTGTCCAGAGCAGCGGCGGTGGTAGGAACACACCGCCGCACGGCTCGCCCACCCCCATGGACAAGGCAACCTTAAAAGTCCATCTTCCCAACGGTAAGTTATCTCGGGGATGGCTCATCAAAAAAAAAAAAAAAAGAAGAACGTTTTCTCTTCGTTTCTCTAACGCGCGTTAGTCGAGAAAATAAAGGATTAAACCGTCCGCGCGCGATTTACCTTGGCCTTTCGCAATGTTTAAGGGAGCGAGCGAAACACGGTCTTCGGTTTTATATTTCCGACGTATCTCCCGATATTGACAAAACAAAATGTGTATAAAAAAGAGAGAGTTTTTATTATCGCGATTAATTAATTGCATTTTGTCGTAAAACTTTTTTGGTAAAATATAAAAAAATTCAATTTAAAATTTAAATTTTAGCGAAACCAAGTTTATCTTCTTGCAAAAAAAACGCGAACAAAAAAACCTTTGTAATCTGTGAAGGTGGGTTCAACGTTGTCAAGTTCGGCGACGCCATCGACGTGAAAGGCATTATTTCTCTGGTAACTAGTCGACTGGCCGTTGGCACCAGACACTATCGGAACCTTTACGCAATGAGACTTCATCATCCCGGATCCGGAGAGAGTTATTGGTTGCATCAGGACACAACAATGTATCAGGTACGCAATATGTATATATACATATAAACTCGATATGTGTGCGCGTGAGTGCACGCGCACGCAATAACCGGCAGCGCATCGATCGGTGCGCGTTCGCATACCTCGCAATTTCCTCTGTATGTGTATGTTCGCGCTCTGTGTGTGTTCAGGTGCAAGAGAAGTACGAGCGGAAGCATCCGCACTGCGAATGGAGGTACGAGCTTCGCGTACGTTATCTTCCTCAAAATCTGAACGATCTCTACGAGAAGGACAAGGTCACGTTTTATTATTATTACGATCAGGTGAGACGATCAAACTCCTGGACTTTTTGCTCGAGTTCACAAAAAAAAAAAAAAAGACATTAGAACAAATTCAAAAACTAACGCGAACTCTTCTGTTTCGCAATTCAGGTTCGGAACGATTACCTGCAGGCGAATCACTCCGCTCTTGATCAGGAAGTGGCGGTTCAGCTCTGCTGCCTGGAGATTCGCTATTTCTTCAAGGACATGCCGCAAATCGCTTTGGACAAGAAAAGCAATTTGGAATACCTGGAGCGCGAGGTAATGGGTTTTTCTCTCGGCGAATATACCGCGTGACAATTGAATTCGATTTTTGTAAAATTCCGAAATAGTGCGTTTTCCTTTTCGCGTCTACGCGATGCGAGAGACATCAATCAGCGTCCCGTCTTTTCGCAGGTCGGTTTGCACAAGTTCCTGCCGCGCTCCGTGTTGAACGGAATGAAACCGAAAGCGCTCAGGAAATTGATACAACAGCACTTCAAGAAGGTTGCGGCGCTCACCGAGCTCGAGTGTATGTTCAAATTCTTCGATCTGTTGCGCGCGTACTACCGATTCGATCAGGAGAGGTTCATTTGCGCCTTGGGGGTGAGCGATGTTTTTCATCCTTAGACCATATCATACTTATAGACACTAGCCCTGTAGATACGAATCCACGAAGCGAGGCGAAGCAAAGAATAATATCATCTACGTGACGTCACATTTCAGCAATGGATAAACGCGGCCTCGCAGATGATATTATATCTTATCTTCAAGGCAGTTATCCGAAGCCGTCTATAAACGCGCCTTTGCTTTGCCCACATGTGACGTCATGTGTAGATGATATTATCTTTGCTTCAAGATAGTTGTCTATAAGTATATATGGTCTAAGTTTTGATCTAACGAATGCGAGAAGAAAATTTTACTTCTCTCGCGTTTATTGACGCGTCACACTAGGGATGAGCATATGATATCGATATATCGACAATATGGATATAATTCTTTTGATATTTGATGTTTTAATATCGATATTCTGTTATTGATAATATCAAAAAGATATCGATAATTTTATTTGATATTTGTCAATATTAATAATTATTGAATATATAATATATAATATATATATAATATATAATATATAATATATATATAATTTTATTTGATATTGTCAATATTATATATAATAATTATTGAATATATATAATATATATATATAATATATATAATATATATATAATATATAATATATATATTCAATAATTATTAATATTGACACAATATCAAATAAAATTAAAATATATATATAATATATATATTATATATAATATATATATTCAATAATTCCGATCAAACAATGCGATATTTAATATCAAATAAAATTAAAATATATATATAAT